ACAAAAAACATCACTTCTTGTCCCCTTCACTATGTAGACAATGGTCTAAGTATCATATTCAACAATAACATACCTACAACAAAAGGTTTGAAAGAAGAATGACCATATTCCGCCCACAGCCCAAGTCCATAAAAAGTAGCCTGAACATGACATATGGTTCTCCGACAAATCAAATAGTAAATGCAACTTGACTGAAAACTATTACAACTCCTAAAGATGTACAAATCTATCTAACAGCTGGATTTTTGTCGTTGCTTGAGTCAAAAATTAATGGAAGACAAACATCATAGTACCTAATTTTCACAGGAAGTAACTATCAAAATTAAGAATTAGCATTAGAGAAAAAAACCATACAAATCGACCTACTTTGGAGCTTTTTTAGGGCACACCTCCACAAGAGCATCGAAGACACAAATAGATGTACATCTCTCATTAGTTGTTGTCTCCTTGGCCTTCATAAAAGCAAGAAAAATTCAATGTGGAAAATTCATCGGACGTGGCGCAGTTGTGGCAAGATTTGAGGCGTGATGGCCTTGCCATTGGCCTATGCGAGAGCAAAACGATCATGCGGGATAATGGATGAGAAACATTGTAAGGGGAACAATTATTGACCAAGGTCTTGGGATAGGCAAGACGGACTTGGCAAAGGCTTGATGAGATAGTGTGGGAAAATTTGGACGGCATGAAGCGGCATGCCCACCAAAGACAAAGGTACGGGTAGTTCAAGTTGTGGGAGCGCCAAGTACAAGCTAAGCTAAATCATGGAGGTGCGGAATGATGGCAAAGGGTTTCAATATCCAAGGCAAAGCTATGTGAGACAAAGGACATGCAATGGCACGGATGAAACAAGTGTTGACAAAGACAAGGCAGAAATGCGGCTAAGGCAATGTGCGGCCTACAAGCGTCGGGCGTGTGCGGTCAAATCATGGACAGCAGGTTGCGGACAAGATATTAGTGCGGAGCAATGTCAGAATCAGCCAAGGCTGGGTGCAATGCCAGCCTTGGGGCGTGCAATAGCTGACCAAGAAAAAGGGCACATGAAGAGCACATGCCAAAGCAGTGGGCCGTTGTATTTTTGTAATGACTTCTATCCATGTCTGTTTAGTGCTTGTAGCTAATGTCATTTCATGTAAGATAATGGCCTATGTAGTTAGGGGATGTCAACTACTAGATAGAATCAGATTTAGCAATGTTATGTATAAGGCTTAGTTCAGTGGGTTGTGGGACCAATGCTCCACCAAAGGGGCTGAGTGCTCCACCAAAGAGCTAAGTGGTCCACAAACAAGGCTGAGTGCTCCACAAAAAGAGTAAGTGCTGAAGAAGTCCATTTCGTGGGTAAGTTCCCCATTAAATGGTTAAGTGCTTATTAGTGCTTTGACTGGGCAAAGCACAATGATGAAATTACCCCTTTGTATGGTGTCACTTCAAATCTGCCAGTAACAGCCCCTATATCTATATATATGGGGGCATTTCGTGAAGGAAGAGAGGAAGAAGAGGGTCTTCAAAGAAGAAGAGTGTCTTCAAAAGGAAGTTCTGTGTGAGACTTCCAAGTGGGAAACAAGGGAGAAACGTGAGGGTTTCTAAGTGTTTCAAACGGGGGCTAAGGCTGGGCATTGGGCAGGTCTTAGTGTGCAAGATCGACTTGTGATCTTTGCTAGAAGAAGTGGGCTGTGAACGAATTGTATTCATAGTAAAGTGGGAAACAAGAAAGAAACATGAGGGTTGCTGAGTGTTTCAGAAGTGGGCTAAGGCTAGGCATTTGGGCAGGTCTTAGTGTGACAAGATCAACTTGTGATCTTTCCTGGTCGAAGTGGGCTATGAACGACTTGTGTTCATAGCAAAGTGAGGGGTCCTTTGTATATTTTCATATTAATACAATGGTTGGGATTTTCCCGTACTTGATTTTGTTCTCTTTATGTTGCTATCGAATTTTGTTTAAGGCCGAACTTGTTGAAAAGTTGGCTACGTTTTGGAAAAGGGTGAGTAAATTGAGTGTTAGGTTGTTGTCGCGCAGTGTCAATTAGGCGCGAAAAATTGGCCCAATTTGACCCTGTGACAGCTGGTATGAGAGCTACCTTGATAAACTAATATTAGAGTAGAGCAAAGTTTGTAGTAGTAGTAAGACGATCAGTAGTAGATTTCGAGTTGCTATTTGAGAACATGGCTGGTGGTACAAATGCTGAACTGCGTCAAAGAGTGGAACAGTTGGAAGCACTCATTGGGCAGGCTCTTGAAGTGGGTTCTGATTCTTCTGTTCTTGCGAGAATGGCCCGTCTAAAGGCAGATTATGCAGTGAGGTATTAGACAACGCCGGTAGAAATAGCCTTGGTACGCAAGGATGAGGAAGAACTGCGTGAGGAGGTAGTTCAACTTCGAAGGGCGTTACAAAACAATGCCCCTAGAAACAATGATCGCACCAAAGTGAGGATCCCGTAGCCAAAGGCTTATGGGGTGTAAGAAGTGCCAAAGAACTGGAAAATTTCTTGTGAGATATGGAGCAGTATTTCCAGGCTGCTTGTGTGCCGAATAATGAAAAAGTGACCAGCATACCGATGTATTTGATAGATGATGCAAAGGTATGGTGGCGTACACGAGTAGTTGAAGCGGAAAGTGCTGCACTGCCCAAGATTGAAACTTGGGAGACGTTGAAGAAGGAATTAAAATCCCAATTCCTTCCAACCAACTCGTCGTGGGTGGCGAGAGACGGACTGCGCCACTTGAAACAAAGTGGAATGGTAAGGGAGTATGTCAAGGAACTTTTATCGTTGATGCTCAATCTAAGTAATATGGCAGAAGAAGAAAAGCTATATTACTTCATGAGCGGGTTGAAGGGATGGGCGCAATTAGAGTTGAGAAGGCAGAATGTTCAAAGCCTCTCTACTGCTATTGCAGCAGCAGATGCATTGGCTGACCTCAATATAGGTCATGACCCTGCTGAGTCTTCGCATGCAAAGTCCGACGGAAGGAAGGACAAAGCAAAGGAATGGAAGAAAAGTGGGAAAGGCCAAGCTGCCAAATATGTTGGTTTTGCCAAGAATCGAAGGCAGACGGAGACTTCCAAGGGCAAAGAAAGAAGTGGAAAATTCAATGGTTGCTTCACTTGTGGGGGTCCACACTTGAAGAGGGATTATTCGGTGCAGGCTAGAGTGAATGTTATGCTAGCTGCGGAGAGACAGGAACAAGTGGCGGAGGCAAATGCCATTATGGCAAATGTGAATGCACCTCAAGGGGACTTGTATGTCAATAACCTTTTGGGGTTGATTCGTTAAGTCGGCTTGACGAGGACGTCGATTTCAAAGTGTGCCGGTGGTTTGTTAGAACCCAAATCTTTGTTATCGGACGTGGCGCGACTGTGGCAAGGATTGGGGCATGATGGCCTTTCCATTGGCCTACGCGGGAGCAAAACGATCGTGCGGGACAATGGATGAGAAACATTTTCAGGGGAACAAGTATTGGTCAAGGTCTTGGGACAGGCAAGACGGGCTTGGAAAAGGCTTGATGAGGCAGTGTGAGAATATTTGGGCAGCATGAAGCGACATGCGCGCCAAAGACAAAGGTACGGGTAGTTCAAGTTGTGGGAGCGCCAAGTACAAATAAGCTAAATCACGGAGGCACGGAATGATGGAAAAGGGTTTCAATAGCCAAGGCAAAGCTATGTGCGACAAAGGACAAGCAATGGCACGTATGAAATAAGTGTTGACAAAGACAAGGCAGAAATGCGGCTAAGGCAATGTGCGGCCTTCAAGCGTCGGGTGTGTGCGGTAAAATCATGGACAGCAGTTGCAGACAAGACATTGGTGCGGTGCAATGTTAGAATCAGCCAAGGCTGGGCATAATGCCAGCCTTGGGGCGTGCAATAGCTGACCAAGAAAAATGGCACATGAAGAGCACATGCCAAAGCAGTGGGCCGTTGTATTTTTGTAATGACTTGTATCCATGTCTGTTTAGTGCTTGTAGCTAATGTCATTTCGTGTAAGATAATGGCCTATGTAGTTGGGGGATGTCAACTACTAGATAGGATCAGATTTAGCAATGTTGCGTATAAGGCTTGGTTCAGTGGGTTGTGGGACCAATGCTCCACCAAAGGGGCTGAGTGCTCCAACAAAGAGCTAAGTGGTCCACAAACAAGGCTGAGTGCTCCACAAAACAGAGTAAGTGCTGAAGAGGTCCATTTCACGGGTAAGTTCCCCATTAAATGGTTAAGTGCTTATTAGTGCTTTGACTGGGCAAAGTACAATAACGAAATTTCCCCTTTGTATGTTGTCCCTTCAAATCTGCCAGTAACAGCCCCTATATCTATATATGTGGGGGCATTTCATGAAGGAAGAGAGGAAGAAGAGGATCTTCAAAGAAGAAGAGTGTCTTCAAAAGGAAGTTTTGTGTGAGAGTTCCAAGTGGGAAACAAGAGAGAAACGTGGAGGTTTCTAAGTGTTTCAAATGATGGCTAAGGCTGGGCATTGGGCAGGTCTTAGTGTGCAAGATCGACTTATGATCTTTGCTAGACGAAGTGGGCTGTGAACGAAATATGTTCATAGTAAAGTGGGAAACAAGAAAGAAACGTGAGGGTTTCTGAGTGTTTCAGAAGTGAGCTAAGGCTAGGCATTTGGGAAGGTCTTAGTGTGACAAGATCGACTTGTGATCTTGCCTGGTCGAAGTGGGCTATGAACGACTTGTGTTCATAGCAAAGTGAGGGGTCCTTTGTATATTTTCATATTAATACAAAGGCTGGGATTTTCCCGTTTTTGATTTTGTTCTCTTTATGTTGCTACCGAATTTTGTTTAAGGCCGAACTTGTTGAAAAGTTTACTAAATTTTGGAAAAGGCTGAGTAACTTGAGTGTCAGGTTGCTGCCGCGCTGTGTCAATTAGGCGCGAAAAATGGCCCAATTTGACCCTGTGACACTTACCCACATAGGTAACAAATATGGTGACTACTCCTCAAGGAAAGGCAAGAAAGCAGCCTTGAAAACTCTGATCAGTGTTATCTATATTTCACCAACCTAATAAAAAAGTTAGATGGATTTAAAAATATCTGTAAATTAAAAGTGAAATGCTTGTAAAAGGAAAACACGGTGTGCTTATGTCTAAACTCCATTCTTATATAGAACATACATTCTCGAAACTTCTTCTTCTTGCTCTCTTCCCCCCTTAACAATTCTGCTTCCTCAGCATCAAAGTCTTCTGGTTTATCTCTCTCTGTGAGTGCTTGTTTTCTACGTTCTCTCTGTGAGTGAACTTTCTGTAATTACATGCATTATCTCATTAACGATGCTACGAACCTGACCTTCAGTGGGAAGTAGTCTACAAATCTGAAAGAAGATACAAAAGGACCATAATAACAGAATTTTTCCTTGCTTTGACAATACTAATGGAACATTCTAAATAATAGTCATAGGCTGTTTGTAAGGCTTTCTAGTGTTACCTTGTCATTCAATAGAACTTTATGATTACCCTATCTGTGAAAAATTGATTTCACGCATCCATTTGTAAGCATTTTAATATGGTATAAATTATGCTTGTATCCACACAAGTAAGAATCAAATAAGGAGCTCCTACTTGGCTTGATCCCCTGGGAATATTAGCGTGCAAGTCATTGCTCTTTGTACCCATGTTTTCCTTTGTATAAGAGATGTACTAAGCATTTCGTTTTTATACTAGTAGAATAAAACTGATTTGGAGGACTGCCTTGTTTAGATCTCTAGTGAAGGAAAAGAAATAGGGTCATATATCAAGAGTGCCCAAAAATATAAAATTGGTATTTATTTTTTTTTTACTGTTTTGGGAATGTAAAGGCCAACATGTTGATCATACTGGAATATATAGAGTTCAAATGAAACATATCAGTTATAGGAGAACACTGTAAACTTGGATCAACAATTAAAGAAAACCCTGTCTTAAAACATAGCCAACCTGCAGGCAATAATTCAATTCTCCCAACATGATTGCACAGATTTCTGTCACATGCTCCTGTTGAGATAACTCATCAGGTATCACTTTCTCATTATCCAAAAAAGAAGGAACAACATAAGTACATATGTTAAGGACAACCTTATGCATAGCTTCTACCAAAGCCAGTATCATATAGTCTGACAACTTCGTGAAATATGATTCACTTTCACCTTGAGTAATCCCTTTCTCAAAAGCAAGTTTAGCAGAACGCAACAGGATGGGCATTGCTTAAACAGCAAAAATAAGAAAATTGCATCAGAAACTGGACAATTTACATGAAAAACAAAAAAACCATATAAAAATGAGAACTCTACCTACAACAGCAGATCTCCTGAAAGGGTTGTGGATATAGAATTTCAGAAGCGGAACAAAGATTGAAACAACCTGCTTCATGCATGAAGTCTGATGCAAAATTGAAGAAGAAGAAGGAAATGGAATTACAACTACGTTAAATAACTAGGGTAAAATAAAGAGCATAATTTGATTGATGATGATAATGGATAATTGCAGGGTATTTATCTCCCACTCAGCTGCTACAGGACAAAATAGCATAACTACTTGTGATGGACTAAAAGGTACTCTAACAGGATAATTCATGGATTTAATTACAAATAAGTAAACAATGTAATAAAACTTATAGGGGACTAAAGTGTACTAACTAATAACTTTTAATCAACTGAGCCTTCTAACTGAATTAACGAAAATGTTCCTTCCCCAAAGCTTCAGGTACAACCTCTGCAATCGTGGACTCTTCCATCTCGTATCAGTCCTTCCCCGTTAAAATCTTCCTTGTCCTCAAGAAAGAAAGGAGGGAAATCGAACCTTGAGTGCCTGATAATCTTCCCACGTAGCTTGTTCTAGTGGTAGATCATTCCTTTCAATCAACACTTGCGTCACTGCCTTGTTTCTCTTTTAAACCATACGTCGCTCCAAAATTTTGTTAGGATGAGGGCAATATGGACTGGAGAGCTCTAGGATAGGAGGGTGAGAAATGCTTTCTGGCAGCTCGTGACAGGCTTTGAGTTGGGACACATGAAAAGTGGGATAGAGCAGTAGTTGAGGAGGTAATGATAATTTGTATGCCACAGGCCCAATTTTTTGTAGAATCTGATATGGACCATAGAACTTAGCTGATAGCTTAGAGAAGTGTGTGGACATAGTGACCTGCCTGTAGGGTTGGATCTTTAAGTAGACCCAATCTCCCTCCTTGAAAACTCTGTCGGACCTATGTTTATTGGCTTGTTCTGTCATCCTTTGTTGTGCCCTTTGTAAGTGGTATTTGAGCAGCTGAAGTTTGAATTCTCTTGTAAGCAGACTCCTGTGTACTTCCTCTACTGCAGAATCACCAGCCATGTAGGGTAAGTGAAGAGGAGGAGGTTTTCCATACAAGGCCTCATAAGGACTGCACTGGATGGCACTGTGAAAGGCAGTGTTGTACCATAGTTCAGCTGCAGCCAGGAATTGGAACCAGTCTGACTGTGAATCTGAGCAAAAACACTTGAGGTAGATTTCTAGGCACCTATTGACTACCTATGTTTGGCCATCCATTTGAGGATGATAAGTTGTGGAAGTGTTAAGTGTGACTCCAAACATTGCAAACAACTCCTACCAAATTTTGCTTGTGAAAATTGGATCCCTATCACTGATAATATCCTCAGGCATCCCATGCAACTTATAGACTTGATCAAAGAACACTTTGTTGAGGGTTTTTTATTATTTAAGATGAAATAGTCTTAAAATGAGGGTGAATAGGAAATGGAGGAAAAATAAAAATTTTGAGTAAAATTTTAAGTTTCCCCCTCTTGACAATGAGACATTGTCCCATATTGGAAGAGGAAAAGATTTTTGGTGGGTATATATATAATTGCTCTTCTTGTAGCTCTTAAAGAGTTAAGAAGAAAGCAAGCCTCGCGCCGTCGTCGTCGTCGCTCGCTCGGCTCGGCTTCAGCTTCGGCTTCGAATTTGGTCAAATGATTGATTGATTAATTTTTTGGACCAAATTTATTTGTTAATAGTAAATATTAACGTAAGATTATCCGCTTTTGTAACGGATATGTTCATCTTCAAAGCTGATTGCTATAAATATGTGCAGCAACTGTTGAAGAAAGATAACACACCAAAAAAACTGAAAACGCTCAACTTTGGCTATACATTGCACTCCTTCCTCTCAGCATTTATATACGATTTTCTGAGNTAAAGCCTTCGTGGCATTTTGTTGGAGATTAAAATCTACGTGATTTTTACTCCAGTTTGAAAACATTTATTAAACGTTTGTTTGTGTCATTCTTTTACAGAAAAAATGACGACTGAAAGTGAAAACCAAGTTGTTCCGACGGTGACTGCCAATGCATCGACAAGCCGAACACCAGCATTGGCACCGGCAGAAAAACTCGGAAAATTTTTCGGGATTGATTTCAAGCGCTGGCAACAGAAGATGTTCTTCTACTTAACTACGTTATGTCTACAGAAGTTCATCAAGGAAGATGTTCCTGATCTGCCAGATAAAACTCCAGAGAATGAACGCTTTATCGTGATTGAAGCGTGGAAGCATTCTGATTTTTTATGCAAGAATTATATTCTTAGCGGACTGGATGATAATCTGTATAATGTATACAGTGGCGTGGAGACGTCAAAAGAATTGAGGAATGCGCTTGAAAAGAAATATAAAATTGAAGATGCCGGGATGAAAAAATTCATTGCCGCAAAATATTTGGACTACAAAATGGTAGATAGCAAGTCTGTTATTGCCCAAGTTCAGGAATCGCAAGTGATTATTCATGATCTACTTGCTGAAGGTCTTGTCATCAATGAAGCATTCCAAGTAGCAGCAATGATTGAGAAGTTGCCTCCGTTGTGGAAGGACTTCAAAAATTATTTGAAACACAAACGAAAGGAAATGTCCCTTGAAGATCTCATTGTTCGGTTGAGAATCGAAGAGGACAATAAAGCTGCTGAAAGGAGAGGCCGTGGAAATTCAACAATAATGGGAGCAAATATTGTTGAAGATAACAAAAAGAGGAAGAAGGCTTCTGGTCCGAAATACAACCCAAGCAAGAAGCGGTTCAGTGGAAACTGCTACAACTGTGGGAAAATCGAACACAAATCTACGGAGTGTCATGCTCCGATGAAAGACAAGAAAAAGGGTCAAGCAAACATGGTAGTAAAGCGTGATGATGTTGATAACTTGTGTGCCATACTTTCTGAATGTAACTTGGTGGGAAATCCTAAACAGTGGTGGATTGATTCTGGAGCCACTCGCCATGTTTGTGCAGTTAGAGAAGCTTTTGCTACTTATGCTCCTGCTGGACCCGTGAGACAGTTTATATGGACAATGCTTCAACAGCAAAAGTTGAAGGATATGGGAAGATATTTCTGAAAATGACTTCTGGCAAGGTCATGACTTTGAACAATGTCCTTCATGTTCCCGAAATGAGAAAGAATTTAGTCTCTACTGGACTTCTTGTTAAGCACGGTTTTAAGTGCGTTTTTGTGTCCAACAAGGTTGTCATAAGTAAGAATGAAATATTTGTAGGAAAAGGTTACCTCACCGAGGGCCTTTTCAATCTGAATGTAATGGTTGTGGAAAACAATAATAATATTTCAGCTTCTTCTTACTTACTTGAGTCAAATTATTTATGGCATGTACGTTTGGGTCGTGTCAATTATAAAACCTTCCGGAAAATGATTAACTTGGAAGTACTACCTAAGTTTGAATGCGAAAAATCAAAATATCAAACATGTGTGGAATCTAAGTATGTTAAACATCCTTATAAGTCAGTTGAAAGGAATTCAAATCCTTTAGACTTAATTCACACATATATTTGTGACATGAAGTCAATAACATCTCGCGGTGGAAAGAAGTATTTCATAACTTTTTTTGACGATGGTACTCGATATTGCTATATTTACTTACTGAATAGTAAAGATGAAGCAATAGACGCATTCAGGCAATACAAAAATGAAGTTGAAACGCAACTTAACAAGAAAGTAAAAATGATAAGAAGTGATAGGGGTGGTGAATATGAATCTCCTTTTGAAGAAATATGTTTAGAATATGGAATTATTCATCAAACAACAGCCCTTTACATCCCCCAATCTAATGGGATTGCGGAAAGAAAGAATCGCACATTAAAGGAGATGATGAATGCGTTGTTGATAAGTTCTGGTTTTCCACAAAACTTGTGGGGGGAAGCCATTCTTCCGGCTAATCGAATATTAAATCGAGTGCCCCATAGCAAAACACAATCCATTCCATATGAAAAAT